ATGACACCCCCTCACAAATTAGCTTTGCTTCCTGGAAGAAAATGGTTTCTGTAGAGGAGCAAAGTGAAGCTGTCTCAGTGCTCGCTCCCCCCTCCTGGCAGCTCAGATGATGTGTTCAGGCAGCCAGGAGAGAGGTAAATCACATGGCAGAGGAGGGCCTGGGGATGCCTTGTGGATATTAGTCCCAGCTGAGAGGGAGGGGTCAAACAGAGATGGAGTTTTCCCTCTCCCGAGCCTGTTGTTTTGTTCAGGAGAGGTCAGATCAACTCAGAAATTTTCCCTAGCTACAGGAAGCCCCGTACAGGTGTGGGGGTGATTTTGGTGGGGTTGGAGTCTCAGGAGTAAGTCTCAGTGAGAGGAGTTTGAGGTTTGGCAGGTGGGGTGACCCCCATACAGTCCCCATCTCCCTACTCATGCACCCAGAATCCTCCTATTGAGTTGTCCCTGTATCTGGAGACTCTGTACTCAGAGCTCCCCTCCCCCAAACCTCTTTCCACACCTCACCCTACATCAGGAACTCCCACATCTGGATCCCCACCATGCTGAGACCCAACCAGCTGTATTGTGACCCTTGACCCCAAGTCCCACTCATCCAGCCCCCCCATAAAGAGCTTTAACCGTCTTCCCCTGTACATCCCTGAAAAGTCCCATTCCCCCTGCACTCAGAAACTTACACTGAGCTCCCGTGCGTCCACATTTCCCCTCCGCCCACCACCAAGCTTGCCACATGCAGACTGTACCACAGAGAACCGTGGTGCTCAAGGGAATTCTTTGCCAAAAATTAAAACAATTTAAAATTCTGCAAAGTTTTGCATACTTTATTTGCCACTACAACACAGAAATACAATAACTATATAATCAGACCAGTTCCAATTTATTTGGTCGTTTTTTTCAAAATATTTGTCAGCAAATAATGGAAAATGATGCAAATGCATTGTGTTAGTTTTACAAAATATGCCAAATTTTGCAGAATTTTAAAATATTGTGCACAGAATTTAATTTTTTTGGCGCCAAATATTTATGTTTTTGGCAGAGAATTTATCTCAGGTGTAATGAGAGAAATGCAAAATAAAGCAGAAATCTACCTCGTTCCTCACTGGTTCAGTCTGGTTCAAAAGAAGGGAAGCTCCCAAATCTTCCACATTATCCACAGCAGTTGGGAAATCTCCAGTCACCTCAAATGGTATCAAATATGGACTAGCAACTAAAGATGCTAAAAAGGTCCCTTGTTAAAGGCCAGGGTAACAGACACAAATCTACTAGCCAACTCCCCATCCTCTACTTGTCCCACTAGAATGTTCTCCTTTCAGTGAGTATCCTCTGGAATGCAGGCTGAAGCATGGAGGGACATATGAATCTTTAGCACATCTGATACTTAAATATCTTGTGACACCAGCTACAACAGTGCCATGTGAATGCCTGTTCTCACTTTCAGATGACATTGCAAACAAGAAGCAAGCAGCATTATCTCATGCAAATGAAAACAAACTTGTATGTCTGAGCAATTGGCTGCACAAGAAACAGGACCGAGTAGACCTGTAGGCTCCAAAGTTTTGCATTGTTTTCTTTTTTGAATACAGTTATTTTTTGTGCTTAATTCTACATTCATAAGTTCAGCTTTCATGATAATGGGAGTGCACTGCAATACTTGTATTAAGTGAATTGAAAAATATGGGTTTCTTTTGTTTTTTTTTTACAGCGCAACAATAAAGTGAGCACTGTACACATTGTATTCTGCATTGTAAATGAAATCAATATATTTGAAAACGTAGAAAACATCCAAAATGATATTCTATTATTAACAGCATGATTAATCATGCAATTAATTTTTAATCGCTTCACAGCCCTAAAATAATTGAAATTGCTAGGTGAGAGGAGAAAATACGTGAACAGATTACACACATGTATGCAGTCCTGGACTGGAGGACATCCTGCTGCTTAATAAAGTCAGCAGTCAAGAAATATGAAAAAAGAATAATCAGAGGCAACTGAATTCTATGCAATAAGGAACTGTCCTACTTTTAGGTAAGAATGCCAAAGATGGGGCAAACACAAACATTGCTGGAACACAGGAGACACAGTACAGTACAGCTAATTTTATAATCATTTCAACATGTACTAGGAGAGAAAGGTTCTGTCAGTCTCCCTGTTACCCATCTTGGTCCCCAGCCAAACTCCTGCTGGGATCTCACCACCATCCCAGTGAGGGCTAAGGAGCAGCTATAACTGTGGAGGAAAGGTTAGATGTGTTCCAAGCCAGTCAGAGCCCCAAATCTCCTGTCTTCTCTCCTTTAAAACAGGGGTGCGGAACCTAAGGCCCAGGGACCAGATGCAGCCCGTGTTGCCTGAATCTGGCCCCTGAGGCTTAGGGTCTCCCCCAGAGTTAAGAAGCCTGCGCTGGCACTCCAGGCCCCCTGCTGCCTCTCCACAGCCCCTGGCCCCTGACTGATTTTTCTGTGGGTCAGCAGCCCCCCCGATCCAAAAAGGTTCTCCACCACTGGTTTAAAAAACACCTCACTTAAATCCTTTACTAGTCTGTTTTATCTGATTATTGTATCCCTTCTTTATGGGGTTCCTGCACTGGACATCCGTCACAAGGAGGTGCTAGCAATTAGCTTGGATACTTCTCCCCATATCTAATCAGGGTCCTAATGTCCCATTTAGTATTGGCCAAAGCCCTGTCGGGTTCCAAGTCTGACAGGTGGACCCCATCCTTCCTGAATAATTCTGGTGCCTGGCATAGTATATCTGGATGCAAAATTACTGAGCCTCTGATGACACCCATGAATTTGGCCATCTCCTTAGTCACATAACTCACCCATGGGGGCATCACAGCTCCCTGCCACACACTGTATTGCAAAATATCCAACCCACTTTTACTTCCAGGAAAACTTCCAGGGTCTGCCCAAGTCCCTGTCAGCTATGAGCATTCAGGCTGTCCCTTTATATGTCCCATAGGTGAAGGTAAGCCAGTACATGGGGGTGGGGGGGGGGGGAGAGCAGGGGAGGCAGGACTCTGGATGCTGCCAGTCACCATACCTGGGTAAAGTTCTCATGCTAGTGTTGGCCATGGGCAGCCCACCCCTCCCCTTCTGCTACCCTTTCCCCCACAGAAGCACCAACTACTGCCCCCCAATTACCTCTTGCCCCAGCCCCAGATGGCTGTGGGATAAGGCCCTAGCCTCAATGGGCCCAACTCCAAGCCAGCACCCACAGGCCCTGGGCGACGTGGCCACAGCACTCTCAGGCTCCAGCCCCAGTGTGTGGGAGGCCATCTGTTTGCAAATGACATTGGGTACTGAGGCACACGTTACACTGTAATGGGCTGTGTCAGTGATGGGCCTTCCTGGTGCTGGAATTGCACAAAGTTATTACAACTTCTTCCACCCACCTTTGTGCCACGTGGACAGACATCATACACCAAGGCCCCACAGAGTGAGTGGCATCCAGCTGAGTTCTTTGCTGGCTCCTGGTCCATCTGAAAATGACAACACATATCCTATGCCACTATCGACTCTGGGCATGTGCTTGGAAGAGAAACAGACATTAAAGCTTACCAGAGTACAAATGCCTTCCCCAACCTCATAATACTGTGTAATCAGGAGGACTGGAAATTGATTATATATACCACTGCCATGTTGTCACACAAGAAACTCACCCTTTTATTAGCAAATTCTGTTTCCTAAATGACCACTGCAGTCAAGCTTTGCACCCATCGACAACCAAGCTTGCCCTCTACTCCCTCCCTTCAGTGCCTTCTGTGTCTGCCTGAAGCTCCGCTGACCAATGTTCCCTCCATTTTTTCCATATAAGCACGGAATACTTTTTGTTGTGTGCACCAATGCATGTGCACCACCACTAGAAATACACTCTGCTAATCAGCTGGGTGGCATTTGAATCTCTCCTGGATAGCTGCCTGAGTGTTCAGCTTACAGGGAACACTGCCACTGACCAATTCCTCCTCAGGCACGGAAGTAAGCACTGGGACTTACCAGTATGAAGTCTGGGTCGCTGGAATCCTGGGCTTCTGGAAGAGGAAGGGTCTCTAGAGGAGGGGACAGGGACAGAGACCAGATTCCTCCAGCCAGCTCTTCATGGCTGCTACTGCTATGACAGCAGCCCCAGAGCTCCACCAGCGATTTGAAGGGCCTAGGGCACCTGTTGGGGCCCTAGCTGCCGCAGCCGTGGTACCCGTGGCTGGGAGATTCAGGCCCCAGAGCAGCTGCCCCTTTTGCTCCCCTCTGTCAGCAGCCCTGCCAGCAGCATGGTCAAACCCTACTGGTAGGCTCACTAATGGAGGGGAGCAATAGGGGCAGCAATGCTAAAGCACTGCCATGGCAGCAGCTGAATGTCAGCAGTGTAGTGACTGGTACCACAGGCTGCTATACTGGCCCACCTTCACCTCTGCTCCTCCTCCCTCCCGGTGCCTCCTGCCCAGGGAGCTCTGGGAGGGGAAGGACTGGGATGTGGCACGCTTGGGGGAAGAGGTGGGAGCTTGGGCCTAGGGGTGGAATATAGGTAGGATGGCGGCGGAGCAGGGGCACTAAGAGGTGGGGCAAGGGCTTCAGGGAAGGGGTGGAGTGGGGACAGGGCAGAAGGGGGGCTTGAACACTCCCCAGATAGAGGAAGTTGATGCCTAGGATTCAAGTGGATCTTTGAATCCACCTCCATTATCCATTCCTCCTGCCATAATGAGACTCCATTAAAATTGACTCAGACTGTTCCCACACCCTCCACTCAAACCCTCCTTCATGTCTCTAGTAACTCATAAAATGGTGAGGTCTCTCTATGCCTGTAGTGACTGCTGTAAGCAGAGTGCAGACTGCATGCCCCGGGGCTACCACCCAGCAGGTAGGGTTAAGATACCCAGTAATAGATGGCAGCTCACAGTGTTCAGCCTCTCCCTGAGTTATGAACGAGTTATGGACCAAACACTTGGCTGTAACTCGATTTGTTCGTAACTCGGACCCCCATTGAGTTACATAGCGACCGCGCTGTTCATAAGTGCAGGTTGCGTTCGTAACTCGGGGGCCGCCTTTACGACCGCTCCATGGGAGCTTTGGTCATAAATGCAAACAGTCATAACTCAACCGTTCGCAACTCAGGGACCGGCTGTAATTGTCTTGACCTCAGAACCTACCTCTTCTAATCAAAACAATAGCTCCTGAAGCTTACCAAAGAGAGTAATGTACCAATAGACCTTCCGGGATGTCCCACTCAGTCCCCAGGTAGGTCAGTGTGGTATTTTTTCCTCTTTTAGGGGTACCCCCATTTATTTTTTTTGCAAGAGCCTGAAAGGTGTCTTGTCAGATTCACACAGTCAACCAAATCCGCCCTGCTTGTGAACAAAGAGCAATGCAGTAATGTTACCGTCATTGCTCCTTCCCCACTCTGGCACGATAAATGCAGAAGCGAGGACCAGCAAAAGTACCCCGAAGCCTTATCTACCAGGCTTTGGTATAAAGTTTCCCCCCAAAATCTTAACCTAGATTTTGGGGTTAAAATCTTCACTGCCACCACCCAAATATTAATAAAGCAACCAGGGAGAGACTACTTGGGAAATCTCACCCCCTAAAGTACAAACCAGGACACAAAAATTAACCAATACCAGGTTAATAAAAAGAAAAGAGAAAGAACTTTTACTATCACCACAATATTCCTGTTGCAAGCATAATGACTAGTTGGAACAGTAACAAAATAATATACTCGTGGAAGAGAAATCTACCATGGGTCAGGAACTTAGTCACAAAGGAGAGGAAAACCCATTTTTAAATGCACAGACCAGATCTCACTTCCCAAACCATAACACAATAAAACCTAATGGATTTAGCTAAACTTTATCCTATTTAAAACTGTGAAGAGTATTTTCTTAGAGGGAGACATCCTGTCCCTTTCAATAGCTGGAGAGAAACCCACCCAGAGACAAAGGAGGGAAACCCAAAAATTCCTTTGTCCTAGTTTGAGATTCCTACCTACATTCCTATTGGCTATCTCTACCTGAGTTAGGTATAGTTAACCCCTTAGTCCGCAGTCTGCTGGCCATCTCTCATGATCATGACAGTTACTCTCTGAGACCACAGGCCCAACCTGCTAAACATTCCTCCAGCTCCTTGCCATGTAAGATACTTTGGGTTAGTCTCCCTTATCCCCTCATCAATGAGTAGGTATCTATAGGCTGGGGGAGAGAGTGGGTTGTCTAAGGTGTATGAAAGCTGGAGAGGGGAAGATGACTAGTAATTTAATTAGGAAAAACATGTTGTAATTTGACTTCCTGCCTGGATTAAAGTTATCTAGAAATTATTAAGTAAATGATGAGCACACTTTTAAATACAGCTCCCACTTTATATTTGGGAGGCAAAAGTTGCTGGAAGTGCTTGGATCAAAACCACAGGAAATTCAAACGAGACAGCTTTTTATTCACAAATTCTTTAAACAAAAGGAAAAAAAATCAACAGATGGACTCAAATCCGTAAGCTCATAGAAAGGGTTTGCCCGGGGAACGAGTGAATTTTGCACCAGATAGTTGTAAGCCGGTATGCTCCAAGATATGCATAACAAGCAAATTAAGCTTTTGTTGAGACTTAATACTATAAATTTCAGTCCTCCCTTTCCTAAGTCATTCACAAGTCAATATTAATGTGGAAGAATACGTGTACACCCATGTCTCCATCTCCTCTTCCCATATTTGGTGAAATAAAGTTCTCTTCAGCTAAGCAGCATGTTCTAATTCTTAAGACAGACAAAAATGCTGTCTGTATCTTCCATAAATGTCTCCAGTGCTTGAAGTAGCAAAGATTGTGTAATCTCACAATAGCAAGACTAACTTCATAAAAGATTAATATGTTGGAAAAGCAGATCACATTTAAAAATGCCCTTTTAAAACATAACAAAGAACGGACATCCTGGGCCAAACCCAAGGTCCGTCTAACTCAATATCCTGTCTTCCAACAGTGGCCAATGCCAGATGCTCCAGAGGGAGTGAACAGAACAGATAATCATCAAGTGATCCCTCTCCTGTCATTCATTTCCAGACTCTGACAAACAGAGGCTAGGGACACCATTCCAACCCATCCTGGCTAATAGCCATTGATGGACCTAACCTCCATGAATTGATCTAGTTCTTTTCTGAACCCTATTAAAGTCCTGGTCTTCACAACATCCTCTGGCAAGAAATTCCACAAGTAGACAGTGTGCTGTGTGAAGAAAAATTTCCTTTTGTTTGTTTTAAACCTGCTACCTATTAATTTGATTTAGTGACCCCTGGTTCTTACATTCAAACATTATTGCCACTTTTAAAAAATTGCATCTCTTCTAAACATATTAGCATTAACTGCTTATACCCAGTCCCTCTAATTCTCCAGCACTTCTCTTAAAACTATTCACATGTTTGCTTTCTGCCCCTGTCATAATGTGCCTTCCAGGACAAAGACACCAGTTATGCCATTCTACTTAATGTGTTTTTGAATTAATATACAAGACATACCTTTCTTCCACTTCTGGGCAATGGTTGGTTAAACTACTTCCTAGATGTTACTTGTCCCGCCTATGGCTTCTCTATCCTGCAATTTCTGCAGAGCCAAGAGAGTGGACCCTTGTACTGGTTTGGAGCCCTGGTTTGCACCCATGGCATTGTCTCCCTGAGGAGCCTTAGCATAAATGAATTATTTCAATACTGGTACACACAAGATTGAGCACATAGTGGGAGGGCAGAGAAAAACGTATGCCCCTCATTTCTCTGCATCTGCCAGTGTCTCCTCCATTCTCTGTGTTGTCTTTTACTCCCCTCTCCTTTTTTCAAGATTGCCCCCAAAGTCTCCGTATAAAGATGAGCCAGCCAAGTAAACAGCATGAGCTATTCTGGATCAACAGTCATTGAGGATTGTGATACAATGAAGAGGACTGCAAAACCTGTAATCTCACTGAAGCAAAAGAAACACACAAGAAATAGAAGATATTAATCAAACCAAGTATATCCCTTTTTCCCCCATTAAGGACTAGAGAAAGTCTGTGAGCATAAACTATAGCAGGAAGAACTACAAATTCTGACGTGTTAACAGGATGGCTGGATAACATGAAGAGGTTCCATAGGCTACTCGTGAGTATTGGCACTATCATGACGAACTCAGTATGTAGGATAACATAGTGCAAGGCAACTGAATATTTAGCCCTAAAGCCTGAAGAAAAGACTCTCTTGAACACATCACACCCGCTCTGGGATAGAAGCATGGCTGCAAAAAGCTAGGGATGTAGTATGTTAGCCAAATATCACCAGTGAAATTAAAGGCCTGATAAGGAACTGCAGAGCATGGGCAGAATCCCAAAGAAGTCAGCATAAGAAGACTTTGAAGATACACAGCATTACTAACAGACCCTGGAGTAAGGTGGGACTCAACTATTTTGATTTTATATAGTCCTGTGAAATATTTACTTCACAGACAAGCATGCACGTGTACCTACAGCCATAGTAGTCAAAGGAATCACAGATCAATTACAGGAGAAGCCCAATAAACTAAAATCTATTATGGCAGACAGATCATAAATCTTGCAGAGATACAATCTGGAGAATTGGGTCTGATTATTTCCTGAAGACAAATCCT